TTTAAACTACGAATACTAAATTGCTACATGCTAAAGTTTAGTCTTTAGGGACAAATTATTACCAATTTGAAAGTATGAGGACTAAATAATTACAAATTAAAGTTTATGACTAAATCATAACAAACTAAAGCTTAGTGACTAAATCGTTACAGACTGAGGGACTAAATTGTTACTTCAATAAAAATAGGTTAGACCATATCTTTTAACCTAAATTTATTTATACATTTTGTTTCCAACTCAAATTATAACTCCAATCCCTCTATTTTTAGAGTTATGTCTATATAGATTTATGTATTTTAATTTTGTTCTTACTGGTTTGTTAAACTCTAAAAATTGTGTCTACTTAGTTCAATATATATTTAAAAATTTTTAATAGACAATTCTTAAATTTTCAATTATGTGTTTAATAGGTTTAGTATCATCGACTTTATCGATTTAATATTTTACACCACAAAATACCCAATACATCCAAAATTAGCCCATTATGTATAATACTTAAATACACCGTTAGTGTGTCATGTAAACTTTAAATGTTGATAAAGACAATGTCATGAATCTATTAGACACAATTGAAAATTTAATAACTCACAGTGTCTTTTTTAAAATATAGATGATATATACATAACTTTAATATTCATGAACTCTAAATAAACATAACTCTAAATATTTGGGTACTAAACATATGATATAATTTTATTTTAATTATATATTTAGCCAGTTGATCATTTTGTATTTTTCTTACATTTATATTTATAATCAACATTGATTAAAATTGTAAATTTAAAAGGCTCAATATCAATATCATAAATTGATTATTATTTTTATGTCCCATAAAAAAAATATTTTTTAACAATGAGCAATGAAGACTTGAGCGACTTCTAAAACAACTCTATAATGCTTAATTAGCTAAACTATACTAAAGTTTATTAATAAAGTATTGCGTATGCATAAAATAACAACTTAATTAATTTAATAAAATTACGAATAAGTGTAATTAAATCCTTGAAAATAGAGGCTTTATACCAAGTTGACAGAAGTTGTATAAAAAGAAGACAATAATTCTAGAGCTACATTTTTTTTTTAAATAGACAAATTTTTAAGAGATGTGTTGGCCTTGATTATTGCTGAAGTTAATCAATTTTTAGATTTTTTGTTCATTAAATTTAGTTGGTGAATGTATGCAATAGTATCCTAAAATAATATTTATTAAAGTCTATGGTACAATTTAATGAAATTAAAAATTTAGAGTAAAATTCACATATTTAACCAAATTTATGGGTAAAAATAAAAAATTTCCTTACTTTGTTTGTCAATTAAATTACTTTCGCCTGTTTGGTTAGCTTTCAAGAGTACACATTTAAAGTAAATATTATCTTTTTTAATAACCAATATTTAAAAAAATAGTAATTGAATATTTATTCTAAAGGTAAATTAAAAAAATACACTTATTTAAAATACTATTATCCATAAATTACAAACAAAACCTAAAAATAAGAAATAAAACATTATCTAGTCTAACATTAAAAAAGCAAATTATTAAAGACCTTTCCCCCTTAAAATGGTGATTTTCTTGTCAAATCGGGCATAACTCAGCGGTAATTGGCATGTATCTCTAATTAAGAGGTTGCAAGTTTGATCTCACACCCCACGTATTTGTACTAACAAAAGTTGTGATTTTATTTTTATTAAAAAGAGCCCAAAATACCATGCCAATTATAATAATCACGTATAAAAGAAAGAAAAAATGAACACAAAAGAAAAATAACATTTGGTGACATCCTGGCATGTTAGGCATGTCTGGTACGAAGGAAGAGTGGACCAATGCCTACAACTAGGTGGAATTTTCTTTTTCCTTTTTTGCTAAAGATTTAAATCTTTAACGAATTACTTGTAATTAATAGGTCGTTATCAAATGCTCGATGTATATTCATCAGAAAAGTCACAAAGCGTAAATAATATAAATAAAAAGAAGTTGCTTTCAAAAGAAACTAAATTTGATTTCTCCACATACGTCACCAGACTATTTTAAATTTAATTAGTGATATAATGCGTATTTCACATAATATTGAATTTTAATAAATAATCTAAACATATAGTTAAAACATATATTTTTAGTTAAAACATATATTTTCACTAGAAGATTAGATGTCTGAATTTCACCTCAAACTCTGTACAACTTTAAAAAATAATTTATAATAAATGATAAAAAGTTGCTTTCAAGACTCTTACCTGTTATAAAAAAGGTTCTCCAGATGGGTAGTTGAAAGCAATAAATTTATTTTCTTGGTTTAATTTCGTAGATAAAGACGAAATTATCCTTTATATGTTTATTCATATATAATAAAAGTTATCAAATATTTATTTAAAAAACAATAAAGAATTTAGAAATTTAATTTTTGCTAAAAACAACTTTATACATTTATTATTATTTTAATTATGAAACAATGAAAAAAAAAATGAAAATGGACGATCCTGCCATACCCTTATCAAATTCTCTCCACACAAAACATATATATGAATAATTCGACTTCCTTATGTCTAATTTTTACAAAAGAAAAAAAAATCTCGATGACTTTATATAGGATATGTTTTCTTCCTTGATCTTTAGGGTTATTTAAAAATATAGAGAATCTCTCTTGAGGTTAAAATTATAATTTTCTAATTATTATTTATAATGTAGGTGACCTAAATTTGTTTTTAAATCATTGGACATTTATTCCTCTCAAATATTCCAAAATATAAAAGACATTCATTATTTACCTACTCTTGTTTTAGCCCCTTATTTTATTTTTTATCCCATCACGTGACTTGAATATTAATTGCTGAAAATAAATACTTTTGGCTTTTTGTTCTTTTATTTCCATATTTGGATTAAAGTCGTGAAGAAACAATACAGAAACAATAACTCATCAGTACCCACATGTATTTGAAGTGTTTTTCAATATTTAAAAATAATCATTACGGGTAAAGTTTAAAAATTATCAAATCAAGCATAAAACTAAAAAAATTACATGATAGGTATAAATCTGTACCATTATTTTAGTCCAATAAATTAGAAGCATGAAAATTCGACCTTGAAAAAAATAGTAAATGTTAATTACCGCTGACCTAATCTCATGTTAGTCAAATTTATACTTATTATAAACGTTAGTTTGTAGATGTCTATAGTTATTGTTCAAGAGATTTCGTCCAAACCGACACACATTTACTTGTTTCTCATCCTTTGTAACACTTGTTGTGCAATCACCCTAATGCACATGTTGTCCACGTTACTATAAAAGTCTATTAAGAGGCAAAACGATGTAAATGAGATTATGGGAGGAAGAAGAAGGTTGAAGAAAATTTTATAGAGAAATTCTTGTGAAGAAATTCAAGCGCCATGGAAATTCAATTTCATATTTTCCCAATTCTTTATCTTAATTCTTGCACTTCTTTCGGTTCTCCATTTTTCACAACGCCACTCACTTTAAAGTATATTATTTTAGGTTAAAATTATTTTTTTCAATAATAAAATTACAATGTAAGTAAAAAAAAAAACAATAATGGAGTAATAAAAAAGTTATGAATATTGTAAAATTAAAAAATCAACATATGAAAAAAATTTCAATTAGGATTAATTTCATGAATTTAAACAAAAATTAAGAATATGTAGTTAAAAAAACTTAAAATTTCTTTTATACATGGAAAAAACTTGACTTCTTAAAGTTAAGAATGATCTGCCTTCTTAACACCATTAATCAGAGAAATGTTAAAATAATTAAAAAATAATGAGTTGTCAACACGAACCTGCCAAATATTTTTCTTCACGCACCCGTTCTTCATTTCAACTATGGTCGGCGTTGTTTCAAAAGAGGGAGAAAAAAAAACTCTGGCCGGTGTAACTGTTATACATTTTTTTATAGGTGGTTCCAAATTACTTTAGTCCTAGGCTCTTAGCTAAAATATACGAAAAATATTTCTACTGAGATTCTCAATAAAATATATGAACGGTTGGAATCTTCGCCCTTACATTTTGTTATGTCATGCTTTTAATGTGTTTTTCAGTTGAATTATGTTCCGGTTCCATTAACTAACTAATTAGAGATTAATAACCTCATGATCATAGTTGAACAATTCATTCTAGAGGTTAGATGTTGAAATTTTTATTGATAAAGCTTGTTAAAATGAATTGAAGTAAAAAATACAACACAATCCACCCCTCACTTTGAACTAAATACATAATCGAATTTTGAAATTTTAGAAAGAAAATAAAATATCTGCGTGCACACCCATAAGCAAGGGCTCGTCCTTCCTTACTAATATGACATATTTTGATGGGTGAAAAAATATTAACAATCAACGTGTGTGCATATATATATATATCCAATATTTATCGAACACTACCATTAAAAATTTGATAGTTGTTCATTATTTTAAAAAATAGAAAAAATATTTATTTTCTTCTCTATCCTATTTAACAAACAAATGTAGGGGAGGAATCGAATCTACGACTTTTTGATTGGAGAATACTTTAATCAATTGAACTATGTTTATGTTAACCAAATATTGTTGATGTAAAAATACGCAAGGAATTTATATTCATCCATGTAGATGAGAAAAAGAATTGAAAATTTTATATTATTGAGAATATGGATACTCAATATATTCACATAGTGAACATCATATTAAAAATGACGTGAGGTCAATCAATATTATAAAATTATTTATATTGACAAAATTAAAGTGTTTGCTGAAGTTATGATTGATGAAGACGTACCTTGTGCGTACCATTAAATATTTGGAGTGGAAAATATAAAAAAAAATATTTTTAAATATAACAAGCTATGTATTTTTCAATAAAAATAAATAGGGTACTCATGGTAATTTTATTCGAAAAAAGAACAATTTGAACATGATAAGAGGTCGCGACAAAGCCACGTATGTCCATGAACAAGTGTGAGACGTGAGCGGTGACGCCTCCAAAACTCCATTAATATTTATGTCATTTCTTCCCTCTTTCTCAATCCTCTCTCTTCTCATTCATGCACGGCCCTCGTCTCCTCACTCCCTTCCTTGGCTTCTGACAACCCTCCATTCCAGTTTAATCCTTACGCCATTTTTTTTTCTTCTTTTTATTTATTCCAAGAACAGCGGCTTCTTTTTTCCCTTAAAACAACGAACTCCTCGCTTTTTCCCTCCTGCAAAATGGCGTTCCACGCTTTTACATGATTTTCCCCATTTGG